CTGACCAGACCCTACCTCCTAACAGCAGACCACCTATGATCCCCATTACTCAACCACCTTGGGACCAAAGGTCCCAACTATGAGCACATGGGGCTTTTGAGGGATGTCCAGATATAAACCCTAATACAGCCTGAGAACACTTAGGACAATTAGAATCACACAGGGAGTTTGTCAGACAGGTTCCTAGGCTCCCATTCTGAACAGTACTGATTCTATTAATGTTTGCTTTTTAAAACACAATAAAATAAATCAATGTCCTAAGCATTGTTTCCACGACCCGCACTTTGATATACCCTGGGCTAATAAGAAGCCTGATTATCTAGACTCCTGTTGGCACTCTTGTAGCCTGAGTTGGGAGCTGTGAGGTGAACCCCTAATTCCACCACTCCAGCAGTGGTAACCTCATTAGATCACAAGTGCCCCCTCTTGGCAAAGCATTATAAACCGTGAAATCCATGAAACAGGTAGCAAGCACAAGTGCCCTTACTACAGTGGGGTTACCCCCAATGGATGCATCATCAGCTAAGAATGCCATGACAGATGTACTTAATATGCCCTACATGTCCAACTTCCTAGCCCAGCACCCCTGTACACTGGCCTATTGGTTGATGCTTGTTATGTCTGTGTAGCTGACCAGGAACTCTGGCTCACTGCCACTGCTCCGGTTAGCCAGAAAATACAGCATGGGCAACTATGGAAATTCACAGCGCCGCTTTTCACATTGTAAAGTCAAAAATCCTTATCTGGACTCTCATAAATTGAGACCATCTTATTAATGAGTCATATGTGCCAAACTGCAAGTCACATACTGGGAATTAGTAAACTTTATTTTTTATCTAAAAAATAAAGAATTTATGCTGCTTTCACTCTGGATCTCAATGACTCATCTTTTGTCTGCAGAGGCCTCTCACCAAACAACAAATTCTACTTGCCTTTGCATGCCATCCCCATCCTTCTTTTCTACTCTTAGAAATGGCCTATTTGTTCCAGCGCCCAGCTCATAAATCTTCTCTGCATAGTGCCCTCCACACTGCCCACAGGTGGAACCGCTCCTGCAGCCTGCTTCGCAGCGCCTCTGTGCTGCTCCTGCGGCTGATTTAGCTCAATGAATTGCAAGTATTTGTTTAACCTGTCAGCTCCTTAAGCTCGGGGAATGTGCATTATCTGTTTGATCTGTGCCTCGCACATGTCCTGGCATGGAGCGTGCATTTGTTAATGTTTATGAAATGAGCAAAGCAAGGAATGAAAGTGCAATTAATCAGTGCTTTAAGCAAGTCATCGCCCTTCCCTGCAGAAGCAAATTTCCCCAAGTGCATCATCAGAAATAATCCACACAAAAAGAGTGCAATGCAGAAAGCTACCTCAGGACATATCAGGTTTGGTGTTTGTGTTTTCAAAAACATACATACATCCCAGAATTCTTGGAGGCTGAGACAAGAGGATCACAAGTTCAGGCCAGCCTGGGCTACAGAATGAAACCCTGTGTAAAAATGAAAAAAAAAAAAAAAAGACAAAAATTCAGACCCAAACTAAACATAAAAGAAAAACATACAGACTTAATAACCAGCCAATTGCAGAAAAAGAGGATTTTTTGCTGTTTTCCTCTTACTGCTTTTAAAAATTTTTTCAGTTGTCTTTTAAGGTCAGGAACCTCCTGGCAGAAGAATAATGGATGATTTGTGCTCAACCTCAGGGCATGCTTGTGGAGCAGGACAGAGATGGACGGTGAACAGCAGTGCTTCTAAGAGCATCACAACTCGTAATCTATATCCAGGTCTGCACAAAATGAAGGAATCACCTGGTCTGAGTTCCAGGGATGTTGTGGCTATAAATATTCACTGCTAGTGACATGCACCCGGCATGGGTGACAACAGTAAGTGTCTTCCTTTGTGCTTCCCAAACTGCCTCCTTTATTAGGAGTTGGTCCACCTCTTCCTTCTTTACAGGCTCTTCTGGCCTCCGCGGAGGTCAGTTACAGCAGGACCCCTGCCAGAGGAGTCGGCTTGGCGCCCCCTTTCATGTGGTAGGGCCCACACTGATGAAAGGAATGCTTGTCACTTACCTGTTTACACAAAAGCTTTCCCTCACAGCAGGAACCTGAAAGACTCTAAGTTGTACATAATTTGTTTGCCTTCTCAGACCCACTTAAAAGGCTTGACCCTGTGATATATTGAAAAGTAAAATGCAAGTCTATGAATCTTTTTTGAGAGGTAATTAGCAAGAAACATTAATAATTAGAAGGATTTCTATTTTGTCTCTTAAAGAAATAAAAATGTAGGACGCTCAGTTAAATTTGAATTTCAGATAGTGAGTAACTCTCAGGTCTAAGTATGTCCCAAATATTGTCATCTCTAGCCTTAGAGGGCAGAGACTTTGCATAGCTCTTATGTGGAAAAATTCTCTGTGACCTTTTGGAAATGTTTTCTTCGAGTTAGGAGGTCTGTTAATAAAACCATAAATCTGAGCATTGAGCTATATGAATTGAACTATTGCTTATTTATTACTTCAAAAACTTTATCCCAGTTATTCTTTGCACGTCCACCATGTACAGGTCCTGGTAGACTGCTGGGGAAATGTAAGTGCTGGAGCACACTATCCCTGGCTTGCTGGGGCTTATCTCGGGGCACTGTAGTAACCTTTGGCTCCCTTGCCTCCTGTTCTCTGCATGGGACACAGCGCGGAGTCCTCTCAGGGTTGCATGCATACTCAGGACTGTGGTCTATGCTAATAGAGCGATCAAAGAAGTTTTCCATGAACCAAAAAATACAATCCTGTGTTAAAGCTAACGCTTTAGTGTAAGCCTTTTCAACATGAATGACAGTTGCTGTGGTCTCCACAGTGTCTAACCCCAGAACTGTCCCTGCAAAGACCGCTCTGAGGATTAGTGTTCAAGAATACATACTGGGAAACCCTGTCCTCAGCCAGTGCCTAAAATTCATTATAAATGTGCCATTCTGGGATTCTGAACTTGCCATCTTTCCCTTTTTTGCCTAAAATCTCCTTTCTCCAGAAAGGTCCACCCCCAATTTCCACCTCTAAGACCTTCTCTTCCCCTTCTCTTCCTGTTTCCAACATCCATTATCACACAGCCAGCACAACAAGCATCTAACACCTCTGTATCCTGCTACAGACAGAACCCACAGGTGAGCCTCATTGATAAGTTTTCTTTTGAACAAATGATAAGTGAGTTAGCACGTACTGCCAATAGATGTACCCAGTCCTGTTGTTTCTCATCATATCCTTTCTGTTGTGAGATAATTATTTCTTCAATATCTACTTCCTATTTATATTGGGACTGTTTCGAGGATAGCATAAAAATCGGGCTAATTTGTCCACCATGCCTAGTAAACAAACACAATGCCTGGCACCCAGCTTGCTCTTTACAAACAACAACAGCACTGATCACATCCTACCCAGGCACCCGTGTGAATGACTGCACTTGGTCCTCACAGCAATCATCTGGAGGATATGATGGTAAATACTGTGCATGGCTTACAGACTTCATGCTGGAAAGATGAAAACCCTGCTTCCTTTGGAGCCTGAGGTCTTGCATAAATATTGGCTTTCTCAGATCACAAGTGTCTGCATGAGTCAGGGAAAGTGGAAGTGAGGCAAGCGTCACTTCCTGCTCCTTTGGAAGTTTCACCTGGAAGCAGAAGTATTGGTGACATATTTCAGTCATGTGCTTATGAACACAATGTGTGTCCCATGGTGACTTTGGAGGCAATGTCTTCCCTATTGGGCCTGCTCTGAGCAGGAGCCACTCCACTGGGTACACACCAGAGTTGACTCCTCCAGGCTGCCCACCAGCTGTGCAAAGACATGAATCCCTGTGCTAATAAATAACTAAGTAAATAAATTTTAAAAATGATCAATAACTTTGACAGAAATTACAAATTTGCAAATAGTTGCACCATTTTTTGAAAAGAAAAAAAAATGGTGCCTAAATGGATCCATGAATTAATTCTTTTAAATTTCCAGTGTTACATTCCAGAGTACAAAGAATTAAAGGATCCTAATTCTTTCGAGAATATCTGAATACCACTGACTTTAAAACCTGACAAAATTTTAGCAAAGGAAATCCAGAAATACATTAAAAGACTAGTGTACTAGGCAAGTTTTAGTCTAATAACATAAAACTAATTCAATATTAAGAATCTTAATCATGAGTCTCCCTGTTACTACGCCAAAGGAGAAAAATCGTGTCATCACCCAAACACAGGATGAAAAAATAATTTAAAAACACCCAATGCTCATTCCTCAAAAAAAACTCTTAATGAGAAGTAGGGTGACATGTGGTTATATCTGTAAAACAAGGAACATATTTGGAAAGGGATGGATAAAGAGATAAATATGGAGATCTTGAGAAGGTCAGCTCAACACTTAATGGTGAATCACATGGAGATGCTCCCAGAGAAGGAGAGAGATAGGAAGTTGTGCCCTGTCTCTACTGTTGTCTGGGAAGGTTGTGGCAGTGAGTGTGTTGAGACAAGAGGACAGATGTGAGTTTGAGCAGCTGCCAGGCTCTTCCAGGTGTCAGCTGTTGTTCTAGAAGATTCCTCTATAGAAGAGTACAAGGTCAGTGTAAGACTTAGATGGCCAGGACTCCGTCCCCTGTGTCCTCCCTCTGTGGACACCTGCCCCAGCACAGCCAGGAACTCATTCCCTTGTTGCTCTCCTAGCCCAAACCCCAGGTGACCCCCTACTGGTTCCTCCATGTCTCCTTGGCAACAGATGCCCTGGTCTGTCCCTGCCAGACCTTTGCAGCTTCTCCAAGATCCCAGCCCTGCTCCTCAGTACTGAGCTCCCAGTCTAACCAGGTAGATAGTGGAACCCACCGCTGGCACAGCCTAAATAAGGACCAACCAAGTGAAGCATACCTTTCCCCAGCAACCTGTTAGCAGTGAGACACAGAGGCTTTGTGAGGACAGTTTCTTTCTTTTTTTTAAATTTTATTTAAAAGAAAAAGAGAAAAAATAAAACAAAACAAAGCAGTGTAAGGATAAAATTAATACAGAGGTACAAAAAAAAGTAAGAAATCACCAGTTAATAGATTACAATTATCATCTTAGAGATAGTTGCTCAAGTCACAGTATCAAAACATACAAAATGGACATTCAAACAGTGAGACTGCAAACAGTTGTGTTCAATGATCCAACCAAAAACATTAATATGGTCAGCTATTTAACACCCCTAAACACACTTGCAGTTGTATACTTTAGAGCACTTTTTTTTCCTCTCTTTTTTACAACAAAATTTATACATTTTGGGTTTTATTACTCCTTAGTTCTTATTACTGTTTTTTTTTTTTTGGAAGAGAATAAAGTCAGAGGACAGTTTCTTATGTGCCAGCAATGACACTGATAGAGGGAATTTTAGGCAACCATGGTAGAATCACACAGACCTCAGAAGGAATTTCTGACTCGACCAGGCCTTCTAAATGCTATATGTACTGTCATTGGCTGTATTTAAAGTCTTCCCTGTACTTGACAAGCTTTGTTGACATTATTATTGGTTTATCAGTATTATATCTTAGCTGGATTTTGTGACCCACATTTGTAATTCTACTATTCTGCAGGCTGAGGCAGGAAGACATTTAATCCCCAGCACCACTAACAATAACAACAAATAAGAATAAAAATCACCAGAATTAAATATCATAGGAGTATAGAGCTTCCTGGAAGTGGAAAACCAAAAACACAGCATGCTGAATATCTCACACTGCTTGCTAAACAGCACCATCAAATTCTCATAAGAATCTAAGCTCCTGCTGTCATTAAATTCCTACACACGCAGCAGAATAGTCCTTCGGAACTGCCCTGCACAGCTGGTAAGAGCTGACAAGCATCTGCCACGGTGAAGAGGCCTCTGTCCTTGCATTCGAGTCCTTCTGTCCAGGGTGCCTCTTTAGAAATGTGGGTGCTAGCAGAAGGCACAGACGAGAGCAGGAGGAAGACGGCACCTGGCTGAGCGTGGTCACTGTAAGGAAGGATGCTTAATTAGCACACATGGAGCCAGAAGAGAGGCGCTGTACAAAGAATCCTGCATCATTATTATCCATCAGTGTAAACACGAGACTTGTTTCCAGCTCTTCTGTGGTAAAGTTGATGAGATACTGTAGTAAAATTCCTAGGTGATGCTAAATGACTAGAATGACTAGTACCGCTCCTTGGAAGGCAACACTTTTCTTTCCGGGACCAGGCACCACCATTGTCTTTTAACATAACTGATGCACCATCAAGCTGTGGACTTCTGCAAGGCTGGGAATAATTCATGCAGCCGGTCTTCTTTAAGCAGCTCATTGTCTCTCCCTTTAGGAAATATAAGGTACAAAACCCTGGTGATGATTGTGAAGCAGCAGCAGCATCTGCAGGAACCTACTGGCTCAGTTTTTGTTCAGTAAAGCTCAGGAATCTTCAAATGCAGTGAAAGATCTTTCCAAGCAGCAAGCTCCAAGCCTGCCACAATTACTCTGCAACGAAAGTATTCAAATGCTGACTTCTCGGAAATCTTTTATACTCTCAAAAGATCATTAAAGGCCTAAAGAGCTTTCGTATACATGTAATATACAGATATAGATAAGATATTGGTATTCACATATTAGAAATGAAAAAGGGAAAAATTAAATAAGTATTTTGTTAATCTTATTTTTAAAATACCAGGCTGAGGCCGGGAATATAGCTCAGCAGCACAGCACCTGCCTGGCTAGCATAAGTTCTTGAGTTGGATTCCTGATACCGCCCCCCCCCAAAAAAAAAACATTAAAAAGCAAAATACCAGACTGGGAATGTAGCTCCATGGTAGAACACTTAGCATGTGTGAGGCCTTGGGTTTGATCTTCAGTCCTGAAAAAGATAAAATTAAATTTAAAAAAAATTAAAAATCCATTAAATGTTAATGTTTTTATAAAGCACAAGTAGACTTTCCATAACAAAAGTAAGAAGAGTGGTATTTTTACATGTTTACAAATCTTTCTTATGCCTGGCCATGAGTGAGATTGCTGTATTCAATCTATCCTCATTTCACATGTCACAGAACAGGTGTGAAAACCACTGTCTGCTCAGGACAGACTGACAGCAGAAGAGGGTAAGAGCTCAGAGACCTTGGGAGAGTTGTGACCTCACAGGCTGACAGGATGATTCAGGGATGCTGAAGCTCCCTTTACACTTAGAGAACTGCATATTTTAATAAGACTGTCTCCCACAAAAGGAAAATTAAGCTAACTATCTAAAGAAGCAAGAACTGAAATTAGAAAAAATGAAAGTTCTACTCTGGGTGTAAAGATAAGCAGCAGCAGGAAACACAGTGTGTCCTTCCAAGAGCCCACAGGTTATCTTGCTGTAAAGTGGTGACGTGTGTTGCGTCACTGTGAAAACATTTGCCATCTGTCTCTCCACTTCTCACTGGGCTGTCTTTGCAGAGCTCCTCCACATGAAGACGGTGCTCTTCCCACCCCACTATGTCTGGCATCTGTCACTGTGGCCAGCGACACGCGAGTGGAAGTGACAACTCCTACTTCTGTGGAGAACCTCAAGCACTATCACCTGGCTCCTGTACCCCTCTTTTCTCCTACAAGATCCGTGATGTTCCAAAAGGAGCTTGCTTAGCCCTCAAAGAGAAGCAGGGCACAGGGTTGCATGTCACAAAGATTTTTAATTCACTGAGATTTTTGACATTATGTATTACTGCAGCACAACTTAGTCTGTTTCTGCTAACAGAAAAATTGCAATAACATAAATTCAAAATGCTTAAGCACTGCAGAAAATATAGGAATAATGATTCCCACATATTAAAGAATATGAAACAACAAGTGATCTGCATCAGTGCCCTCAATATTTTCAGTAAATACTTATTTAAATAGAGGCAAGCCCTGGGCTATTTAATACACTGAATATTCAAGGAGAGAGAAGACATGGTCTCAACACAGCAGAAGATATAAAGAAGCCAGAGTCTGATACTAGTAGATGCAGTTAGAAACCTGGCTTCTCTGCTCATGTCTGTGTAATCCCATGTATGCTTCTCTGAGCTTCATTATTCTCACCTGTAAAGTGGTTGTGGCAATAACTACTTCAGGAGATTGTAGAAATTAAAAGGGATGACTCTGTAGATAATAATCAGATTACTCTGATAATATTGGCATGGTATCAAGTCCACTGAAAGCTACGTTTCCTCTTCCTCCAGCTCCAAGTTCCCAGTAGAGACTGGGGGCTCTCAGCTCTATCAAATGCACTTCTCAGTTACTTTTCTTAAATTAAGACTTTCAAAAAAGTTGTATATACACTCCTCTATTAATTTAGTCTGCCATTTAACAAACTAAGTAAATAGTATTGTCATCCCTATTTTGCAAATGAGAGAACCTAGGAGAGACTGCATATTACAGTTTATGTCTGGATGCCCCACCAAAGCCTCACGCAGTCATGGGGGCTGGCCTTTTGAAGGCAGCTGAGTCTAGAGCTTGTGATTGGTTCATTGTCTAGTGCTGGGGTTGGTGATGTGAATGCTGCACCAGCCCGGATGCAGGCAGCCAGCATACAATGTAAGGGAGAGAAAGAGACTTGCTCCTTTTTGCTCTTGTTGGTTTTGCTGTTTTCTGCCCATGAACTGTTGCCCCCTGCCATGCTACCCTTCCTCGAAGCCAGTTGATTATGGACTGAAACCACCACAAACTGTGAGTTTAGTGAACCTTTCTTTCATTAATTTTGGGAATTATTTTGTCTCAGCAATAACAGAAATGTAGCCAACACACTGAATAACTTCCTAAGGTCATATGTGGCACATACTTATCTACTTGATTCTTTCTTTGGTTAATAATAGTCAATATATAGAGCTTGTGCCTAGCACTAATGTTTACCACACCAAGTCCTCTAAATGGTCCCATTTCATGCTGCTGTCACAAGGTTGCCCTGCAGACAGCATCCCTCTTTTCTGTCCCTGAGGTTTCCTCCACTTTCCCTCAGGGAATTAGACGAGTCTTGCTGGAAATAGGCTTTGTTCTGCTCTGAGCTACACAAGAATAATTCCTCAACCTCAAAGGTAACTTGTATATTGATCCAGAAACATTGCAGGAGTGTAGCTTTCTCATTGATTACTTGATAATGGATCATTTCATTTTTATCTACACTGATTTCTCTAACTCAGATAAAAACCTAAGTAACCTGAGCATATAATTCATCTCCATGGAAAGCATTTGGTCTGCCAATTCACATTAGTTCAAAGAGCAAGCCTGCAAGCCTCCAAGTCATCCAGAACAATGCAGTCCAGTGATGCCTCTTCCCAACTTATTTTTGTAAAATATTTGAGCAAATAAAATCAAGAGAAAATTTAGTTTAAAGAAAATTGCATTTCATATTTTGTTGGAATGAGACAAGAGCAGATCCAAAACATCTTTCAATGGCATGAGCCCACACTGACAAGAGTGCTTCCACTGTGTGTTCTTAGCCAATTTACAACTATAGCCACTAAATTAATAATAATCAGCTGGGACTCACAAAGGCCTAATACCCAGGGCTCTGCTCTGAAGCTCTGGCCTGATATTTAAATATTTATTGATGATAATTAGGTGACAGATAGGAATGAACTCAGCCTGAAATAAATTCAGTCTGCCTGTACAGGCACAAGCCACCTCTTAGCCAAGATTCCTCCTCATCCCACAGAGATATGGTACCAAGAGAAACAGGATATCCCTTAAGGAGATATGAGACTAACACACTGTCTTATAATTACTTCTTTGGCTAGAAGACAAATTCTTCAAAATTATTTGTTGATTGTGTGTGCTTTTGTAGTTTGCTAGTTTCACTGGATTGCGAACAAAGAGAATTGGGAATTCAACATTTTGCTTTCCTGGATTCTGGATTGCCCTCCCTATTTCAAAAAATATTTTATTATAAAGGCATTCCATTTATGTACAGGTCATTAAGATCTGGGGTTCAAGATCTGCCAGGTTTTTCTCAATAACAAAGAACTAAAAAGTCTTAATGAAAACCAGCAAAGTTTCTTCCGTGCTCCACATCCTGGGCTCATATCAGACCAATGGACATTCTGCCCATTGTTATCAATCAAGGACACAAGCTGGTACAGGAGCCAGGTCCTATATCAGAGAGGAAAAGAATGTTCTAGAAATTCTGACACAGAAGCAAGCAGTCAATATTATGACTGCTGCAGAGGTCCATGCTTACGATAAGTGTGGTTTGTGATGCCTTCCTGCTTCTTACCAACCAGGGGATTCTGAAGATAGGCTTACATTCTTAACTGCAAAATGAATAGCATTTACTCATCACATGTCTCTGAATAATAAATGAGACAATAAACATGTAGCCTTTGGCACATACTAGGGGCTCTACAAATGATAGGATTTTCTGTCTATGTTAAAAGACTTTGATGTTACCCAGGACTCATGGGGAAACGGTTTTGCTCACTTGTACTATACTACACACAAAAATCTTGAAATTAAACTGCAGTATATATAGTGGTACCTTGGCTCATAAACTTAATTCTGTCCACAATTCTGGTTCCAAACCAAATTAAATTCAATGTCTAGGTTTAATGTTGACCTCATAGGAAATTAGGATTCACAGAAAATGGAGTAATATATTGTGTGGAATGGTCATTGCACATACATAATTTTAAAAAATCTTTTAATTTATCCAATCCTCTCCTAAATGCTGCCTGGGAAAGGTACTATCCTGAGACACAGTGGATTCACTCTCCTCTCCCACAAGCAAACAGGCTGGGCAGAGCAATGACATAGAGAACAGAGTTAGCAAATTTAAAAGATTAAAAATTATTCCATTTAACATCCATAATAGTAGCTAATACTAACTGAAAATTTTTTCCTGTGACACATTCTGTCCCATATTCTTTTCAAAGACTATCTCACTTAATCCTCACACTCGCCATAAGGAAAATAACCCAATGAATCTTAGTTACTTTTCTTGTTGCTAAGACAAAATATCTGACATCCAAACTTAAAAGAGAAGAAATTTATTTCAGATCACAGTTTTTGAAGATTTCAGTCCATCGTCAGGGAGCTCCAAAGCACAGTAGCATAGGAGAGGAGAGTGACGGGGGAGAAACAGTCCATGGCAGGGCAGGAAGGAAGCAGCAAGCAGGAAGCAACAAGCCTCCTTTTTGCTTTTATACCATCCAAACTACAAGCGTTTTGGGTGGTGCTACACAGTCCCAGGGAGGGCTTTTCTCTTTGGGAAATCCATCCAGACACACCCAGCACCATAGTCTTTCCAATCAGTGGACTAATTTAGTGCCGCACACTCTTATTCTCAGTATCACACTCCCTTGGTCCAGCCAGTTCCAAAAAGCCCTACCTATAAGCACATGAGATGAGGCTTTCGAGGAACTTCTAGACACAAACCATAACACTGTAATTCCATTTTGTAGGTAACAGACCTGAGGCATCATTAAGTGAAATACTTTGCTTAAAGTCTCTACATAGTAAGTGAAAGAATTAAGATTTGAGCAAGTTTGTTTTATTTTGGATTCCATGTTCTTAACTTCTTCATTGAAATTTTGTCATATACTCATTATTTTGAAACCCTACTTACCAGAAAAAGAGAAGGAGGGAGGATGCAACTGCTTTATAGCTTAGAGGACATTGTGAAGAACTAGGAACTGTTGGTTTATTTAAACATCCTTATGATTCTTACCCATGACTGTACAGCATCTTCCTAGCATCAGACAAGTAACCACAGGTAAGTTCTTGAGCATGTAAACAAAGAATAAAAGAATGGGGCGGACTCTAACATTGAGTGTGTGTTTTCTGAATGAGTCATCTAATTTGTGATGTAATGGAAGATGATAGTCAACAACATCTCCTTCATAAACAAAGCTCATTATATCAACGACCCTATTCTTTCACATAGGAGATGCATGCCAGATTATTCAGGGGCAACTTTGTTGCACCACTGCCTCTTCACACTCCTAGGAAGACAGTTGTGGCATAGAGTGTTAGGGAAATGACTGGAGTAGAAGCCAAAGAGAGAACTCACCCCATAGCAGGAGCAGGTGGGCTTCATCAGTTTGACAGGTACTACTGAAGGGACCAATAAATTGCAGGGAAAACTCAGTACCATTATTTTAACATATACCTAAATGAAAATTTTAAATTCCATATCCTTGCGGCCTAACACTAACCTCGGAATGTCACAGCTAAACTCTAGCAAATAAAACAATGCTCTTTCCAAATGAAAACAGCAATATTTAATGTAATTCTCTTGTGTTGTAAATGTATACCCAATTAGCAATCACTCAGCCAGGAACTAATGGAGCTTACTGTGTATCCCTTCCTGATTTCTCAAAGATAACTTGGTATCTAATGGGATGTGACGTATTTCACATTAAGTCCATAAGCCATTTTCAAACTCTTGTTTTTCTGTCTTTCACAGGACAAAGCAACTATCAATTTCTGCAATCACAAGAATGATCACTGTCACTAAATAGAGGCCACAGGACAATAGCATCTGGCCAGCGTACAATAGCGTATTAATTCATTTCCTGTTGCTATAGTAAAATACTTGAGCCTACATTCTTATTAAAAGGCGTACAATTGCCCTCCAAAAAGACATGTGTAACTAAGAGGAGAGGAGGCAAAGGGATGAAGAGTTTTAAAGAATATTATGTACATGTACAAATCTGCCAAGAGGAAACTTATTAATCTTTATAACCAATATGCATTAATAAAAATGGGGGGGGGTTAGCTAATAATTTTGGATGCTGAAAGTTCCAAATCAGGCAGCTCCATCTGTTTGGCCTCTGTTCAGGGTCTTCTTGGCTGTGTCATATCAAGACAGATGACACTGTTGGGGATATGAACATGATGGAGAGAGAGTTCGTGCAGTACGATAAAGAGCCAGAGATTAGGAGGGTCCAGTCTTGCTGTAACAACCTACTCTCACGGCCACTAATTCACTCCATGAGCTCAGTGTTAATCTCTCTCAAGAGCAAGACTCCAACAATCAAATTATCTTGCAAGAAGCTTCCTCCTCTGCCTATTTTTTAAAGACTCTACCACCTCTCGCATGGCCACACTGGTGCCCATTCTTGCAATACAGTGATCTTTGGGGACAAAGTCAAACTTATTCAATCCATGGTGGTTAGCATCTCATATAGTGATTCAGTCAACACTGCTGACTACACTCTTCTGCCTGCTATCCATGTCTCCTTAGCTGGGTGAGCAGGTGAATTGTCCCTGAGCTCCACTCACAATAGGGATAAATGACATATGGGCACTGAGAACTCACCATGAAAAAAATATCATTCAAATTTGTAAGCCCTAAAACAATTATACAATGGTCACTGAAGTCATCAATGATGTTCATCTCTATTGGAATAGACCAGTATCACTGCACTGATAAAGGATCAAGGTAACCCAAAGGAAAGCCTTTTGGCTTTCTGATTGATTAAGAAAGAATGGATGGAAAAAAAAAGAAATGATTGAAGAACATTTTCTGGGCCCAGGGAAGACCTGTAGCTCTCAAGAAGTATTCACACCCTTATGTTTTTCTGAAATGAACCATAGAGACCATGATATAAATGGGTGCCTAGCATCACTACCATGCATATCATTTGTGTATCTAGCATAAGACCTAAGTTGTTACTTCCTACAAATGACTTTATACAAAAGCTACAGCACACATATGTTTGAAACCCCAAAGCACTTTTGTTAAACCATGATAAATACACTAAATACAAATTTTATTTGCTGATCACATGAGGAAGAAAGAGAAGAAACTTCAAGCATAAAAATGTCCTGAGTTCCTGAGTGGAATATTTTCCTTTATTGGCACTAAACATTAGATACCTCTTAGCAACCCAGGGTGCTTCAAAGCCCAAAATACCCTACTCAGTTGACCACCCCCCCCTACAAAAAATAAAACCCAGACATGTTCAGGAAGAAGAAGAAAGAACAAACAAGTTAGAAAAGCAATGTAAGTATGACACTGTGGAAATGCTGTTACCTTCACGAACATTTACCCAGACTCTTCTGTAGGAATAACTTGGCCCAGCTATTAAAATGTCCATGCAGACAAGGAAATGTGGGAGATGGAAGCTAAGTGGAGGTGATACTGACATTCAGAAGGCCCATGGGAACCTATCAACTAACAGTCCTGCCAAGAGTACCAAGAGGGAAACTAGATATCAGACACAGCAGACTGTAGTTGATTATGGATTCAGCTCCCAAGAAAACAGCAGGCAGACACCCTGGCACCAAAGATATGGCCAAGAAAACACTGAGGACAGGTCCCCGTTTACAAGTCTGTGATCTCAAAAGAATCCTTAGTAAAAGGTTTTTCACTCCAAATTCATCAGTCTGCTTTCATGCTTGTTGTCTCTCGATGTGCACCCCTACCTGGACATCTGAAGGAAATGAGCCTGGGTTTTTCTAGTATTTATCCACTAAGTAAGACATCAGTTCCCATGATGGAGAAGCAGTAAGCTCTTCCTGAAAGAATCCTTACTCCAGGACCTAGGGAATCTATTGAACATGTCCTGTCTCCTAGAGACCAGATAAAGGTAAGGAGTCATACAAGCAATGGGGGGCAATGTGAGGGGAGCAGATAGTGGATAGAGAAAGAGACTCAAGGCTTGAACAATGTAGCCTTGGGGTCCCCAGTCTGTTTCCCGTCCCTGGCCAGATCAGCCTTTCTTTATAGAAGCCAATGCTTTAACTCTGGGGTATCCTGGGACATCCAACTCCCTGCCTTCCACTCACCAATAATGGCTGCCTCCCCTCACTTCTGTTTTTCTGCAGATGACCTCCTTTCTGAGTGGGCCTGGATACTACTGCTTCTGAGATCACAGTCTCCAAGTCACCATCTTCCCACTTATTACTTCTTGCTACTTTTCATGGGGAGACTGCCTTAGATCTAGAAGCCAGCAGATGACCAAATGATGAGCAAAAAGATGGCATTGTCACAGGAAGACAAGGCGTCTTGTTTCTAGCATTCTCTTAACAGGAGAGAAATCTCAGGTTTTATCCTGTTTATAGACAAGATACTCAGCTGTCTGGAATTCATCTGTAAAAATTCAGGAATTTTTACAGGAATTCGGCAGCCACATTAGAGCAAGGGAACTGAGAGTGATTAGAACCCAAAGTCACAGCTATACTTTCCTAAAGCCACCAGATTACAGCACAGATTTGCAGTGCCAGGGGAGAGAGGCACTACTTAGCTTCTTAGGAAGGGTAGACACAGGGCTCAGCCTGAGGAATTTGGATCATTCTTTTGCATCATAACATGTAAAGGCTGATGGTGAGCTTACTTGAGACAGACAAGAGAGAAAAGATGGTACCACTGATGCAAGCCTGGGTTAGTAGCAAGGAATTAAAGACAGTTGCCAATGTCAAGGTCCTCTAGTTCTTGATTTTCCATCCCAGCCAAACTTGCCATGGAAAGACTGGTGATCAGGCCTTGTGGCAAGAGTATACACACAGCACATCAGAATGCCTGGATGGTTTCTCGAACAGTCCAGCACATGGACAAGTACAGGACCATAATCTGGAGGAAAAGTTCAGAAGAAACTTGACTTTGAACTCTAGAGTCCATGACTCCCAGTCCGGAACATACCCTAAGGCATGGACTAAGGGTTACTGCTTTAGGAAGCACAATTCCAGGTTAGTAAAAGAAAGAAAAAAGAAAAGCGAGTCCGGAAAGCATGAGCAGCAGTTAGACGCTTCATTGTGCCTTCACTGCTTCCCAACAAGTCTCAACAGGGAGCAGCTATTTCTCAGTGCCTACACCTGAGTGAAGGTCATCTCTGGTCAGGGTATATAGAGAAAAAAAAACTCATCAAAAATAAGAATGGGTAGGGAATTTAGTTATCTGTCTCCAGCTTCCCTGGCCAGCCTCTGAGTGGCATGAAATGGCCCCATCCCCTTGGAGAAGCCAGCTCCCACACGCTGTATCATGATGTCCTTCCATGCCCAGAGGGGCTGGGAGGAATGAGAGACACTGCCTCACATCAGAGTCTCGTCAGAGGCAACTTCTGAAATGACCAAGCCCTGGGTCTCCAGGCAGGTGAGGCTCATGATATTTAGTTAAAAAAAAAAACATTCGTCATCACTCCTGGTTTCAACGCAGCTCCTAGTTTTCACTCTTGAATTCCGAATCCATCCCTGAAATTGACAAAGTCTGAAGGTTAGGAAGGAAACAAGGGTCTCTCTGCCTCTCTAAATGACTTTGTGTAATGATAGAGCTCTAGCCCCTGTGGCACCTTCTTCCTCGAACAGGCTTTCTGATTTCCACCCACAGAAGCATTATCAATTGGGTGAAAGCAGGGTTGACCTGCTGGCCACTGGTGTCTCCTCTAGAATTTAGTTTAATGATGAGGCTAAAAGTACCCATGCATCTTCTTCTCTATTGAGGCACATTAGCATTAGGCTGAGAGGTTAAGTTTGGGCTGTGACCTCTTTTTTTTGGTACCAGGATTGAACTCATGACCTCATGTTTGCCAGGCACTTCTGCTGCTGAGCTAAATTCCCAGCTCTTGTGTGTCCTCTGTAGTAAACAGGATTCTCAGTTACCACCTGCCATCTCCATCCTCTGAAATGCAAATGGAGAGCTCTTGTGAGGGCACCTTAGGCCTGTAAAATGACTAAACAGTACCTAGCACTGAAAAAGCATGAGCATTAGCATTTATTAACAAACAAATTATTTCATCCATTATGTTACTTCACTGCATTGTGTTGGTGACTGCACTTGCCTTCATTTATGTACAGCTTGCTCTTCCTGTTACCCTTCATAACAACCTGCATCCTTACCACTTCCCATCATGCTTTGCTCCAGTCTCTTGTCATCCCCATTTTCCCAGATAAAGAAACTGGCTGCTGGCTACTTCCAGTGCATTTTATAGGGTGCGGCCCACTGAGCGGGATCCCAACCCTTCCTTTTGTGTGTCTGGATCTGGAGAGAGTATATCCTCCTTTAATTAAGAGGTGCGGGCAACCTGTAAAGACCCAGCAGTCCTTGCTTGAGGCAGGTGCTGGGAGGCAGTGAAGAGGGAATAAGAATCCTTCAAAATAAACTGCCTGGCAGACCTGGGAAAATTCCCAAAGTTGGGGCTCCTGTCCCCTCAGCATCCCTAGCCAGCATTTAGACAGCATTCTGGAGATAAAAGCAGCGCCCCCAACCCTCACTCTACCCCTCAGTGGGTGCATTCTGTTTGACAGCACAGTGAGTCTTTTGGGTAATTGACAGATTTTATTTGATATTTAAAATTCAAAACCACAGGACATGTACTGAGTTGCTGGACTTCAAGGAACCTCCTTGTGTCCTCAAAAGTCACATTCACTTGTGTGATTCCTGTAGAACTTTTAAAAGGCCCCCACAGTTCAGGGTGGTGACTTTTGCAGAGGACAGAACTTGGGCCCAGTGCAGGAAGGGGAGGGGAGCAGACCACTGTCACCTCCAGCTGCAGCTGCTGCCTCTCCTTCAGAGGCTCTGTGCTGTGCTGAGCAGCTCCTCCTCTCTGTGGTCCAGGAAAGCTAGAGGCTGATAGCAAACGTGCAGCAGGAACCCCACCATGTGTGATGATGGAAGAAAGACTCCTGCTTCTTAGAACTG